AACCTTGTCACACAACATGTGTGTAATGATAAGAAATATATATTTGAAGTTTGAAGTCTAAGATACCATAAAAAGTAAAGAAATTATATCATTTCTTAAAGAAAATCCTTAGTTCAAAGAGAGATAAATCTGTAAATATTGCTTCAAGAATTATGAACATTGTCACATAAAATGCAATTGATGATAAGGAATAAATGTTTGAAGTTTGAGGTAGATACCTTTAAAACTAAAAAAGTTATAGTAAAAAATAACATTTCTGTAGTAAAAAAATCTTAGTTTATGGGGAGATAATTATTGCAATATTGGTGCTAGAGTTATGAACCTTGTCACATAAGATGTGGATGATGATAAGGTACATATATTTGAAGTATGAAGTTGATCCCTTTAGAAATAAGTAAGAAACAGTAAAATATAATATTTTTAAGGAAAATTCTAAGTTCAAGGGGAGATAAATCTGAAAGTATTGGTGCTAGAGTTATTAACCTTGTCACATAAGATGGGGATGATGATAAGGTACATATATTTGAAGTATGAGGCTGATCCCTTAAGAAATAAAGAAGTTACAGTAAAAAATAGTATTGAGGAAAATTCTAAGTTCAAAGGTAGATAAATCTGAAAATATTGGTGCTAGAGTTATGTTGCTTAACACATAAGATGTGGTTGATGATAAGGAAAATATTTTTGAAGTTTGAAGTTGATACCTTAAGAAATGACAAAGTAATAGTGAAAAATATTTTACTGCACCAAAACTTTAATCTGAAATCTGGACGCGGACGCCGACGCCGGGGCGAGTAGGACAACTCTCTATATACTTCGTATAGTCGAGCTAAAATAACCAATTACAGCCAATGAAACTCTGATCAATTTAGATCACCACAATTAAACTCAACCAACATCAACAAATCAACAAAACTCACCTCAAAACAACAACATTGTCTTCTTTAACAAATAAACGCTACACACTACAAGTGTGTCCCTAAATTGATGTAAATTTCTTCCATAACTCGCATAAATTATTTGCTATCCTAACGAGTTGACATTTACATGTACATACAGTTAAAAGGAGTAGCAACAGGTTTAATGACATAACTGTACACTGAAACTTTATATTTCTGTAGGATTATTCTGACAGATTACCTGATGTTTAAATGTTAATCCAGTTAAATAAAAAAGGAAACTCATTTTGCATATAGCGAATTACATGTAGTTCCTTGAATCAGGTGTTTTTATAGCGAACAGATTAACATAATTATAACGAACAGGTTGTATACCGTCGTCCGCCATTTTGAAGAGCATTTGATTAAGAAGAAATAGTCATTTACTGCTTTTTTAGACACAATACCCGAGAGCGTACTTTTTGAAATTTGAAAATCCTTTGCTATTTCAGTCTTAGTTTCTCTCACTTTCTCAATTTCTCATAAAATATCATATTTTCTAAACTAAGTGCTTTTCGTTTCCATTCCATGATTAAGAATAAACAAGATTTTCCTTCCTTTTATATTGAATATCTTCTAAACACTTTAAGCGTGACTTTTTCGTATGGAAGTTTAGATTTCTTTTCATTTCAATGAAGCGTACTTTGCAGTTTTCAATGGATTAGCAAGGAATAGCATGCGTGATTATATTGAAAACCGATTATAAATGATCATAATTATTTAACTCGAGCAAAACTATTAAAGAAAAGAAATAATAGAATAAAAGCAATAACCGTTTTATCTTGGTGACAAGAATTTATGCTAAAAATATCCTAAATAGAAAGCTATACAAATCTTTTTTCACAGCTGTATTGAAGTACATATAACAATAAATGGTACATTCTGCTGAGTTTTTAATCCGTGACAATGAAAACGAAAGGATCTATTTACGGGAGCCATTATTTTGGAGTTTGTTATAAAAGTGTAATTTTCTGAACTTTAAACTAAATTTGGACTAAGAAATGAGTTACTTATAAGCGATAATTCCTTATAACCATGTTAAACATAACATATTAATAACAAGAAATGTTGAAACATTGTAATTTTCTAGCCCTTGACTCACATTATTGGTATTTTGTTTATAGAAACTTGCCATAAATGGGTACATGGAAGTGTTCGATTATGGAAAAAAATAATAAAGACTTTGTGATAGATAGTTTTCAAGATAATAAGACATTTAAGGCCCCTGTGACCTTGACCTTTGAAATAGTGACCCAAAATCAATAGGGGTCAGTTAATAGTTATGACCAATCAATATTAGAAATATGAAGACTTTGTGATATAAATAGCTTTCAAGATAATCAGCGGAAACCATACTTACATTCAAGAACCCTGTGACCATGACCTTTGACCTAGTGACCCCTAAAATCAATAGGGGTCACTTACTAGTTATGACCAATCAGTATGTGAAATATGAGGTCTTTGTGATAAATAGTTTTCAAGATAATAAGCGGAAATCATTCTGTCATTTAAGGCCCCTGTGACTATGACCTTTGAACTAGTTACCCAAAAAGCAAAACGGGTCATCTGTTGGTTATGACCTATCAATATGTAAAATATGAAGACTTGGTGATAAATAGTTTTCAAGACCGACGGACAGACCAACGGACTGACAGACAGACCGACTGACAATAGCAAAACAATTAATATGGGCTTAATAAAGAAGGGCAAAAATCGGACCAAATGACATGGTTCGTTATAACCGGAAGTTCGCTATAACCGTGTTTGCTATAAGTGAATTTTACTTATTAGGGTCAGTTGTGACCAAAACTAGGTCCAGGACCAAAAACGATGTTACAACCCTTATATATATACAAGGGTTTCAACTAAGAAAAAGCAATTTTCGCCCATAGCTCAATGAGAAGCGAATTTCTTTTTCACTTTTCCAGCAAATTCTATATTTTTAATGTGTACTGTTAGTGTACATGTAGCATACCAATGATACTTTCAATAAATGATAGCAATTTGTCCCTTTAACCATGCATATAGTAACATGCCGAACACAAACCTAGCCAAAACGACTTTCTTGCTTAGTCGAGAAGTCGTAACATTGTAAACAACGTGGTTTATCCCATAAAAACAATTTACATTTATAAGTGCCTCTTGTTCGGCTCAATATTTACCACTTCTATCGGTTCGAATATCAGGGGCATACATTCACCAACGTTATTGATAAATAATTAATACATTATTCAATCATATGTGACATACATAGTGAACATATTGATCTTGAAGTGAATTTATGTTTTACGTTATATGCAACTATTATTCTTTTACTATACAGCCAATTAGTCTAAAACATATTTATAAAATCACACATTTACATTCTTCCTTGGATGAAGCACCGTAACAGGTTTCACATACTAGACAGTTAAAACTATATTATGTGTTAACACGACAAAAATGCATAACAATATTGTGTTCGTTATAAAGTAAGCAAAATGAAAGTATTTTTTTTTATATAAAATTGATTTTTGTATAAGAAATTAATAATTATCAGTTAATCGTTTCATCTACTTTCGATTTTGATAAAATCAATATTATGTACATTTTTGCTTTATGTATTTAACATCATTTGTCGACCAATGAGATCGCTCACATTTTCAAAACATGCCCTATGGACAGGCAAATTTTGTCACTTTTTCATTAAGTCGAACACTTAACAATTAAGAGTTTGGAGCGAAGTGCGCATGTGTAAACTGAATGCAGTAGTCCCACCCCATTAGAATGACGTGACATTGGTAAAATTATAGTCGAGAACAAGGTCAACAGGATCCATGCTGTTCGCTATCAGTTTCTCTACTTGTAAGAGAGTTGGAAAGAGAACAGCATGGATCCTGATCAGACTGCGCGGATGCGCAGGCTGATCTGGATCCATGCTGGTCGCAAACCCATTATGTTGGTTTTGTCGTGACACGGCTCATTTTTTCATAAAATTAACTACGGTAAGCGGGATCGTTTTGTTTATACTTCGATGAGGAAAATATAGCCAAACCCAAACATTTTGGTCATTTTGACTAACGTATATCTATCGCAAATGGATGATGATTGTCATGTAAACATTTGTCAATTAATGCACACAGTTTGGCACATGAATGGTAAAGCTTCACTCCTCTTTGTTATTTCAGTATACATTTGTATTTCACATGAAAATGTCCCCAAACTCTCAGCGACAAAATTATACGGAGAAGAGCTAAGGTTACAATCACAAAAATCATTAAGGTTACAATCACAAAAATCATTCACGTAAAAATATTTGAAGAAATTAGGCGGTACAGGATGTAAACTATCTGTTACCAGTCTTACCTTCGCTATTTATATACTTCTCAAACTTTGATAGGGATCACTTGTTTGATTGTATATATATTATGGGTATACAACAATTAGTTAGTGATATTTTGATTATTTTGATATCGAAGTGTATTAATTGATTGTTTTTGTTATGATCTGATTAATTACTAAAGCGTGACAACGGTGTAATCTGGACAAGGGTGGAGCTTTAGGTTTATGTGCATGGGTGATACAAGTGGAATGAATTTGAAAGTTAGCCAAAAGTGTAAAGATGTTTTCAATATCGGGTGTGGTGCCCATTTGCGTTGATAACGGCCCGAGACCGTTTCCTCATGCTACATATAAGCCGCGTATGTCGTCTTGTGGGATTCGAACCTTCTCTAAGTGGGTCTTTTTAAGCTCCTGAATGGCGGTTGGCTTAACAGGGCGGGCTTATCAGTAGCATGAGGAAACGGTCTCCATACTGGATATTGACAACATCTATACACTTTTGGCTCACTTTCAATTTCACCCCAATTGTATCACCCATGCACAAATATCTCAAAAGCCATCCTTATCCAGATTACACATGTCAAGCTTAAAACATTATAAAAGCAACAAATTAATACACTTTAATAACAAAATTATCAAAATATCACTTTTAACTAATTATACAGTCGAATATATAAGTGATCTCTTATCAAATTTTGAGCAGTATATATTGACTGTCTTAACTGATAGATAAACTCTACTAACCGTTTTTAAGCTGAAGGCAATCCAGCGGTGTCAAATGAGGTTAAACACTAAGTAAGTTATTTTTTTAAGTGAAATTTTAACAATTTAGAACCCAAAAGGTAGCGACTGGTAAATTTCAATCTTAAGCGAAAACTAGATCAAGCTATGTTACAAACATATAAGGTACATATAAAACTTCCGTTTAGCGAATTCTATATACAGATACGTGGAGTTTCAGTTCCGGGTTTCACGGATTTATTTATGGTTATACATTGTATGGGAATATTGACCTGAGACATTCGAATATTCATAAAACTTTGTCGGTAATTGTCGGATTTCGGAATAAATCTTACGGATTTTAATATATGCACAACGGTATTCATAGTATATGTATAACTTTAAATTACCGACACATCACCCAATGATAAACAGTTAAGCTTTAAGTTTCAAATTGAAGGTTGTAAGAAGCATTATTTTTATGATTATTTTTTCATTATATTTTTTGAAACTTGTCTTTATGCTAATCACTCTTTCTATGACTATCAAATTGTCATTGATGGAGCCAACGACACTTTTTTATTATTCGAGCACGTGGACAGTTGGTTAGAATTTTTCGACGGCTAGATTCTGTGATATTATGATTATATGTGGGTTGGAGGGGAGGTTTCGCCCATAATCAAAACACCACAGTATTTCGACGCGAAGTACAAGAAGTTGAACTAGTTGGCATTGATCTAAAGACTGAATTGCAATCCACTTATTATAAGTGTAGTATGATAATCATTCAAAATACTAACGAAGATAATGCTTATGTCCGCTATTATTACAATGGCTAGTTTTTGATTTGTAAATACTAGTAAGAAACCAGAAATAATTGAATTTAGGGGTGTCTTTGTATAAATATGTTGGGGATGGGGCAGAAGGGGATGGGGTTGCAATATAGGGGTTCTCTAGATTTCTTTCTTGACATAAACTGCAAATATTGCAAAGAAAACTAGCATAAATTGTCCTTTTTGTGCAAAATCAAGTGTATGCGTGACATTAATGAAACAATGTCATATAGTTGTCGCATTTCATAAAAGCGGAAAATTGATTTTGTTGAGAAACTTGCAACATCGAGACGAATTTTGAAAACTCGTGTAAGGCTTGATATTTTTTCAAGATTTTATGAGAAGCTGTAAACACCAGATTTTATTTTTCTTTGTTCAATTTCATAAATTGAGAATACCGTCTTATGGCATGCTTCAGACTCGCTTGTAAAAAGGATCAAGATATTGCGTGCGTGCGTTCGTGCGTGTTTGTTTGGGTGATGTTTAGTTTTGATGAGAAATTACCTTTATCAACTTTAATTTGGTATTGTTTTGAGTCATATTGGCGATCATTTTATCGTCATGTTATATGATAATGTAATAAATATGCTCTTCACACGAAAGACCAAAGATCTAATGTTTTCCCCATATAGATACTTACTGATATAATGAATAATGTTGAGCATGTAAAGCATTTATCATAATGCCAATAATATTATAACATCCAAAATTTTGTATATGTATTGGTAAACACATACAATTTTACACTTAAATTGGTCAAGTGTTATGGGATTAAGGTCAATTTCATAGGCTATAAACAGATTACCCTTCTTGACAATTAAAAACAAACAACAACTGGCAACAACAAAGCATTTTAATTGTTCAAATATACTTTACTTAATTTGCACATAATAAGATAATATTTGTCATATCGGCTTTTAAGTTTTATTTTAGTCTTTTTTCTATCTTTATTTATAACTTAAAGATCCTGTAACTCAATTTTTGCATGTTTTTTTTATCATAAATCTTATGCTCAGATGAAGATTTATCAATATTGTAAGATCAAAATGCATTATTTGTAAAGATATTACCGAATTTACATTTCATGTAATTAAAGGGAGGTTATTAGAAATCTTTTTAATGATTACGTATATTGCGCATAAACGTTTGCAGTACACATCTGAAATATTCTTGGATGTTGAAGAATAATTATATACATATATAAAAGTTCACTTAAGTGTTGTTACATCCTTTATTACAACATACAGGATCTTTTAAGTAAAATGTTCCAATTCTAAATTATTATTGTTATAGCATCATCAGCATTTTACCATCATATCTTTAACAATATAGCGCATTTATATTTCATACATGTTATTGATTTATTTATCCATCAGCATTTAAGTGCCTAAATATATGCAAACATAATATTTGATTTCCTTTCTTCATCCCATTATATAGTTTAGTCAGTACACTTATTTAAAAACTAAAATAGCAGTAAGATTTTATATTTATTTTATGTTTATTACAACATATAAAATTGTTACACTTGTACGTGTCAAATGGCAGTGTTGCATTTTTCTGTATTGTACTGTATATTATTGTTTGAAACATTCTCATTTTAGCGGGGAGTTTCACTTATTGTAAACCGTTATTTTGTACACCATTTGTTTAAAAAGGTTACAAGATATTTCAAACTTTGGTCATTCATTTCACACGAATATATGCCTTTGCCAGACAGAAAGCCAAAATCGAAAATTCCGCCTAAACGCTTAAACTCGTGTCCCGTCAGTACGTGCTCACTGGCCTGGCTTGGAAGTGCATGTCCATCCTTATGGTGAAACACCAGCAATGCCATTTTCGAGGTCACTAGAAGAGCAAAAGAAAATCGTTATGGACATGATCGCTAACATTAACAATACCTTTGAAATGTTCCCAAAACTTTTTGTTGTTTTGTTTTGCTTTTAAGGCGCACCAACACAGTTTAAGAAATAGGAGAGATGAGTTTGGTTAAACTCGGATGTTACAAACTTAAAGCATCACCGGGAGTCAAAACCACTACACCTGCTGAAGTTTACAGATGTATTAGAATCCATTTATTTGAATCTGGGAAAAGTGTGATCCCTCGGAAGCATTAATCACAACAAAATTACATGAAAATCGCAACCTCTGTTTGATTAAGTCTGTACGTTGGAGATAATAAGAATATGCAACATCTCTCTCTAGTAATACATTTAGTCGCTTCTTATAATCGCGCAGAATTCATCAGTGGCAACAATTCTGAAATGCAACTCAAGGGGCTTAATAATAAGTAAGTTGTTAGTGAACTTGAAGACTGTTTTGAGCGAATAGTTTCTTTTAATGAACCTTATTATATGTATCTTTATATGTGCACATTTTCTACATTGCAGAGCTTCGTATTCTGAACAAACCTTTATGAACATTTAGATGGAAAATACGAGGAAAAGACAACGAAATGTGAAAGATTGCATATTTAACTAGTGGTTGTAACTTTATCAAACTCAATAGTCATATGAATACTCGTGTGTATAATCATATACTCATTCGCAGCATTAAAATGTCAATATTCCAAAGAAAGAGAACACTAGAGAAACATTCGACCGACTTGTGGAAGAGCGCGTTATTAAATACATGTATTATAATGATCATCACAAAATGAAGATATTCTAGTTTACCATTTAACGTTTTAATTGCGGTAAGAGCATCCGTTCCTAGTCTTGATGCATTTATGCATACAATCAGCAGTGTTTTATCTGGGTTGACGTCAGTATTACTTCCACATTCCACGAATTCAAGTTTCGTCATTTCGTTCTCCATCTCTTTCTTTAATAATGTTGTAAGCTCATTTTCCACCTTTGAAATCAACGGAATTTTACTGCCATGGAACAACTGGACTGAAAACAAAAAAACCCTAGAGATTATACAAAGCTGTAGATTACTTACTGTCACATCGAATCAAACAATTGTGCAAGATAATGAAATGCTTCGTTCCTCACCCATAAATTATTATATTTGTATATAAGCGGTATCAAATTTTCAATTTTCCACCCTAAATAAATATAAAAAAAACAATCAATCAATTTATCAATCAATCAATCAATTTATCAATCAATCAATCAATCAATCAATCAATTTCACAAACAATTTACAGCTTCATGGCAACTTTTAAACATGTGTTATAAGTTAACAAATTATTTTTACTACTAGATCTATAATTTCTATCTATAACAATAATAAGACAATGTTTAGTTGCAGGCCTCATCTGTGACGTGAAACAGCTTTCAAAAACTTTGCGTTGAAATGGACATTGATTTCAGTTTGATTAACGGTTTTAATTCCTGATTTTCAAGAATGATTGTGGTTAAATTGTGTTTACTTTTATTCATAAAATAACTTTTATCATTTACATACTTTGTATTGTCTTAATGGCTTTCAATTGGTCCATTTCCTGTTTAATGGTATCATACATCTGTTGAAGTTTCTTGTGATCTTGCCGCATAGAATTAAGTGTTTTCTCTAGTTCTGATTTGTCATCTTCAACCAATTTTAATTGGCTCTTAAGATCTAAGATTTTTGTCTCATGCAATTTTGTTTCTGTTGTAATGGTTTCTTGTAACTCTTGTATTTTGTCATTCAAGACTGATATCTTCTTTTGAAGTAATGTTTTGTCGCGCTGTAGGTCCGCCATTTCATTTTCTATTGTTGCCTTTTTCGTTTCACTTACACGTTCATTGTGAACCGAATTACTTTTCAGCATTTTATTTTCACTAGAAACATCTCTCAATTGACGTTCTAAATTATCAATTTGCCTGTCTCTTTTTTCATTTTCTTTCTTAACATTAAACAATTCTGTTTCAAACTCTTTATTCGTTTGTGACAGTAACTTATTCTCAGTAATAAGCTGACAGCAGTTTTCTCTTTCAGTTTTAAGATGCTTTTCAGATTCGGCGAGTTCAGTTTGTAGTTTATTTTCTTTTTTTAGCGCATCATCTTTCATTTTAATAAGCTTATTGGACAACTCTTTTAGTTCTTGTGCAGTCTCAAATTTTTTCTTTGATAAGTTATTCTGGATTTCAACTTGATTTACCATTTCTACATCTTTGTCATTCAGCTGTTTGTGCATTTTATCGTTTTCTCTTTGCAACGCTTCTAAATCATCTTTACATTTTCTTGAACTGCGTATTTCTTCCTTGAGTTGTGTACGTTGAGTCTCCAGATCATGTTTTAAGAGGTTTTCATTGTTTATTTTAACCTGGAGGTCATAACCTAATTTATCAATTTTCTTCTCCATTGCAGCTCTCTCTTGTTTAAGTCGTTTATTGTCATCTTTTTCCGCCAAAGCATTTTCTTTCCATTTATTTGCATCTCCTTTACTCCTGTTCAATTCAATATTCAATTTACATTTTTCCGCCTGCAGCGTCTTTATTTCTTTTTGCAGATTCACGTTCTTAGTTTTCAGACATTCTAAATCTTTAATTTCATTTGTTATTCCGCCAGTATTATTCTTAAATTGTTGACGTGTTTTCGACGCTTCTACCTTCCTTTTCAATATGTCTTTATGAGATGTCTTCTCTTGCAAGTTATGAGTTTTTACTTTTGACTCTTTCCCTTTCGCTCGTATGGGGGCACGCATTTGATCCGGCGCTTTGCTCTTGCCACTGTCTGTCCTTTTTTTCTTTCCTCTTGTTACTCTTCCTACGTCTTCAACCATCCCCTGGTTTTTTTCAGGTTGTTCATATGGAATACAAGTACCTTTCGTAAGTCCATCTTTAATTGGGGTTTTGGCATTTAGTTTTCCTTCTTCTTTACTCTCGTCTTTCAGTTCTTGTTTTCTAACTTTTTGTTGCCGGGGATTGTATAGTTTCTTGACATCTCTGTCAACAACAAGATTATTCTGATCAGATTTTCTTTTCCTTAAAGATCGCTTATCATATTCCATTGTTCAGGTGATACCCGAAGCCTGAAGTCATGAAAAAGAGGAAATATTTTGATGTATGGCGGCCTCTCATGCCTTATAGATATACTTTTTAATATTATATAATGTGTTCAACATTTTGAATTAGTACAAACATACCACGGCAAACTCATTCAGAAAACGTCGCCAAGTATTAATTATCAAACCGGTAATAAAAGAGATTCTATGACTTTTAATTATAGCAAAACAGACATTTTTGATTAATGTAAAAGGAATACTGTTATTGTGTATTTAGGAGAAATGATTGAAAACGATGTCCGACAAATAGAATCACCTGCCATGAGATTGTTATTGCATCCACGGTTTTAAATGTAATTAAAGCCGTGTCACATCCAAAAATCTTCGGCAGGTATGTCGTATTTACTTTCGGTTTAGTGAGAACACTATGGACATAAGGTCTTAATCAAAGTGCTGAAGGCACTGCAGTTGGGACGTATGAAGGATCAAATAACTATTTTTTCTATTTCGGGGCAGATAATTCAATGAGTGAAGGGTGTTGCCGGTTGATAAATATAAAGTGCACAATTCAGTAAATGAACAGTAGATGATACAATTATTCTATGACACACATGTTAAATATAATATTTAGGTTACATGTATGTGTAGGTCCATCATAAACCGTTATTCGGCCTTTTTTGACAAGAGCAACAAGTGAAATTAGAGCTACCAGAGGAAACTGCAAGCTTGACTATTTTAACACATGACATTATAAAGGGAGACAAAGCTATGAAAAAACAATCAATTGTGATATATATCAAATTTTCTGTATCAGTATCAAGTAAACACTCAAATGGTCAATATTTTTTGCATCACATTATATGAATGTGACCATGTCATTAGAACTTTTATAATGGCCTTTGTTTACTGCAATTCTCATGCTAATCTCTTTCACTGTATAACGTTTATAAAGTTTTCAATCAAATTCCTTCAATATTTTAATCCTCTCTCTGAACAGTATCATGAAATATATACGGAGATAATTCAAAAACTAAGTAATGTAGAATTTTGGTTATTTGACACAAGACTTCTGCTCACTAGTCTCTACAACTGTATTTAGTTTGAGTGTGATATCATTGAAAAGATTTACTCCAGACAACCATTATTTTTAAAAGTTGTTGAACATGTATTTTAAGAGATGATAATTGTAAAATTAAAGCTAGAAACTAGAACTCCGCAAGTCGGATGTGTCGCCTTGTGAACAATGTAGTTTAGGAGAAATTGGCCAGGACAAAAATGAAATATGAAAAATAAACAAAGGGCAATAACTAAAAAATAATAAGTGCAGAGCAGCAGTTTCTGAACACTGCACTTCTTATCAATAAGATCTATCATTCTATGATGGTTCAAGTCCATAGCTTTCATACTTGAGGAGAAATGACCAGGACAAAAATAAAGAAAGAAAATCAACAAAGGGCAATAACTCAAAAAATAAGAAATGCAGAGTACAGTTCTTGTGCACGCTGCACTTCTTCTTAATGAGATCTATCATCCTATGAGGTTTCAAGTCCATAGCTTTTTATACTTAAGGAGAAATGGCCCGGACAAAATTAAAGTATGAAAATAAACAAAGGGCAATAACTCAAAAAATAAGAAATGCAGAGTACTGGTTCTTGTGCACTGCACTTCTACTTTAATGAGACCTATCATCATATGAAGTTTCAAGTCCATGGCTTTTATTCATTAGAAAGAAATGGCCTGGACAAAATAAAGTATGAAAATTAACAAAGGGCAATAACTCAAAATTAGGAAGTACAGAGTACTGGTTCTTGTGCACTGCACTTCTTCTTAATGAGATCTATCATCCTATGAAGTATCAAGTCCATAGCTTTTTTAGTTGAAGAGAAATGGCCCGGACAAAATTAAAGTATGAAAATTAACAAAGGGCAATAACTCAAAAAATAAGAACTGCAGAGTACCGGTCCTTGTGCACTGCATTTCGGGTTTATTAAAAGAAGCATGCATACCAAGTTTGAAGTCAATCAGACTTATAGTGACTGAGTTATGCTCCGGGACACGACAAACGACACCGACAAAAGAAACCCCTATATGTCACCTTTTCAAGGCGACACAAAAATTAGGGTTATTTGAAAAAACACTTTCTTTCACTTGATTTATTTTCGCTGTGTAAAAGTTTAATCAAATTTCATCAACTCTTTTTCCAGTATTTTCTCTGGACAAGCATAATTAAGTACATGTATAATAAAGGTAGATAATTAAATAAGAGGGCCATGATGGCTCTGAGGTTGCTCACCTGTATATACCCCCCCCCCACACCCTGCAGGGCCAGTTTTAACCAGGGCTTTTATTTGAACAAACTTGGAAGACATCCATAGAGAAAATGATTCATGCTAAACATCAAAGCTCTAGCTTATTGGGTTTTTTTAAAGAAGATTTTTTTAAGTTTTTACTAACACATACTGTTAAAAACAATGACAACCCTGGAGCAGGGCCAGTTTTGACCCCAGGGCTTTTTATTTGAACAAACTTTGTAAGACACTCACTAGAAGATGTTTCAACTTATAATATAAACTCTAGCTATTTGGGTTCTTTAAAAAAGATTTTTGAAGTTCTTACTATATGCATATAGCGGAAAATCAATGATCCCCCCTTGGGCAGGGCCAATTTTGACCCGGGGCTTTTATTTCGCAACAAAACTTGGTAGACACTCATTAGAAGATGTTCATGCTAAATATCTTAGCTCTAGAGCTTCTTTGGGTTCTTTAATAAGAAGATTTTTTAAGTTTTACTATTTGCATTTAAAGAAAATTAATGACCCCCTAGGGCAGGACCAATTTTGACCCCGGGCTTTTATTTTAACAATCTTTGTAAACACTCACAAGAAGATATTTCATGCTAAAATATCTTAGCTCTAGCCCTTTAGTTCCTTAAAAGAAGATTTTTTAAGTTTTTACTATATGCATTTAAAGAAAATTAATGACCCCCTGGGGGCAGGACAATTTTGACCCCGGGCCTTTATTTGAACAAACTTGGTAAACACTCATTAGATGATGTTTCATGCTTAATATCTTAGCTCTAGCTCTTTGGGTTCTTTAAAAAGAAGATTTTTATAAAGTTTTTTACTATATGCACATAGGTAAAAAATCAATGACCCCTGGGGTGGGGTCCAATTTTGACCCCAGGGCTTTTATTTAAACAAACTTGGTAGACACTCACGTAAAGGATGTTTCAAGCCAAATATCTAAGCTCTAGCTCTTAGGGTTTTTTTAAAAGATGATATTTTAAAGTTTTTTTCTTTCGGTTCCTTGCATGGCAACCGGAGTTCAGACACATGGAATTAAATTCTTTGCACAATTTTAAAATGGTGACAGCCAAAGGAACATTCTTGTGAAGTTTGGATGAAATTAGCTTAGTGGTTTATGAGGAGTAAGATGTCATTTAAAGTAAAAGTTTACGGCCGGACCGAAAAGGATCACAAAAAGCTCGACCTGTCACTTGGTGTGACAGGTGAGCTAAAAACTATAGGAATGGAGTTATGGTTCTTTGACACATTGGAAAATTCGAGTCGTTCAAGTTGATGTAGATTCAGTTGATAGTTGGAATAAGCATTTTTAACTTAAGGGATATAATTAAAACATGAAGCAAGGTAGAGTTTTATGTTTCTTGAACATTGCACTTCCTCTTAAAAGTCTCTATCACTTTGTGAAGTTTACATAAAATCCTTCAATACATATCTAGTTATATTCATATTTCGGACAAGAGTGTGAAGGTACAAATGTCTTCCTAAGTTCAGACTATGTTTTTTTCCTTTATCAACTAAATCTCAAAAAACACCATTAAAAACATATTTTCCTCACATGAGACAACCTTTTTCCCAAAAGTACAAGTCTGTAATGGAATGAACACAGATATTTATCCATAATATTACTTGAGTCCATACGACAGATGGTTAAGACCGCAACTATATTCTCTCCCTTTCAGGAGCATAAATTATAATAACATGCTAAATCTCTGTATAGTTCTATATCAGATACCAAGTATGGATGAACCTTACTTTTGTACCATTGAAGTTATAGCAAAATTCAGCTTTCATTGACATACAGAAATGGGTCAGCTATTAGTCCCTCTTAATGAAAATATAAGGGACTTATAACAACAATTATTCTCATAGTTTCAATTCTCAGGTTTATTACTTATCATTACACCAGGCAAGCTAAGATACATGATAAACACCACAGGCAACTAATATACCACATTACCCATATACGCTCATAATACTATATATAAAGAATAAAGGTCCCCTTACGAGAGAAAAGTATCATGCAAAACAAACAAGAACTGTTCGTAAAAATACACCAGATCACTATTTTATTTTTGTGGTTGTCTCTAGGAATAATGTATCCTATCATAAAACACTTACTTCATCGAAATCCTACAAAATGCTCCAAAATACGAGCAAGTTTCCAAATTTCACTGAAATGTCATTGCATGTCGTTTCGACATCCAAGCGATGCGTGTAAACAAAGGTGAATTCTGGTCAATTTCTACAAAATCAACGAATAACTGGTTAAGATTTCGACATACTTTCTTTAAGGCAACTTGTATACAGTCAAACTGCGATGTCTTTACTTCACAACTGTCCGACGAATAACACTAACAAGCTAAAAAATTAAAAATAATTGACAGCTCCGTTCCAGAAAGTAACCATTTCCTACATTACCGCACTGAATATAAGGTAAAGTAATGATTGGTTAAGCGGGAAATCCGAGTTTTAACATTTTCCTTTAACACAATGTTCATGACTGGCCTTTACTATTGACAGGGATTCAATTCAGACTAGCCCTCTAAAATAATCTCCAACTAGTCCAAAGTGTTTAATGGTGCCTATACAGTTATGATCACTACATCTGGAAACTGGAGATTCCCACCGAGTGTGATGCTTATCTTCATTCGCTTGACAGTGACACATGGTCCACCTTAAAAAAAAGCAATAAAAATTATATGAAGT